CGTCAAAATGATGATGTTACAATATTTCTCTTAGCTCTTGCTGAAAAAATAAAAGTCAATAAGGTTATAAACACTTACTAATTTTCCTTCCCGCCAAAGCAGAAACTACATGCATATGAAGGTATAGTTTTCAATACAGTTTTATTTAATAACCGAACTGAAAAAAAAATTTCAAACTGTTTTTGGTTAGCGTTTTACCGTCTTCATAGGAGATACCTCAACTATCAAAATAATTAGTAGTTCGATTTTGGACACCGCCTGATTAAAAATTAAGAAGACAGACGGAAACGGAAAATATGACTTTTCGTATTCTACAAACTGTAAAAGGCCGAAATTAGAATTTCAACAATTTTCCCAACTTTCTTTTGGAAAATAAAAAGAAGAAGAAATTATAAACTACAGACGAAATTCAACCAAATATAATTCAACTAATGCAGTAAAAAAAAAATCATTGACAAATTGTAGTAACGGACAATCGACTAAATGTGTCAAAGCTATCCACAGCCAACAAACTACATACATTAAGTTTCAGATTGAAATTTTCAACACGTTACTAGCTCTAATATTTCTTTTTTTAATAGATATAACATTTAAAAAAATATTTCAGTTGATATTCATTTTATCTTTTCACAAATATGTGTTAATAGAAGTAGCATTGGACGACTTATATAATTATGACAGATAACAGTTACAAGAATTTGTTACTGGTTACTGGTTTTGGTGGAAATTGAATTTTATTTAATTGAACTGAAACTGAAAAATCAAGTCTAGTGCTGTTGTTTAATAATAATAAATTAACAGGGTAATCTTTTGTGATTTACATCTGAAATAGCAGGATAAGCGCTTCAGATTACGACATGATAATTTTAAAAACGAACTACTTTTACTGTTTCTGCTTTTTTGTTAAGTAGTTAAATATGTTTCAAGTTTTACAACTTGTAACTAAACCTTTTCAAAAGGCAGTAGCCTAATCTATGAAAAATTTGCACCAAGTAATCTGATTAACAATATGATAGTTTAACACATGGAGTTGTTTTAAAATATGTATTCATATTTTGCAAATATGGAATGGTTTCTTCAAAATGTTCAATTTATTATTAAAGGGACACTCTGCAATGCTTGCTGTACACTTACTCATGAGAATGCATTGCTTCCAGTAACTAAATAATCCATACATTTTAAAAACAATAAATACTATATTACGTATAATTTAAAATAAGCTGCTTTATTGTTTCCTATAAAATTGTAAAAATATGCATGTGGCCATCCTTAATGAATGCAATTCATTAAAATGTGAGTGTTATGCAAGCAATTTGTTTCAAAATCGAAGTGTAAGAAAAAACTTTTGCACGTTTCGTTTAAATTTTTTAAACGAAATAGAAAACAAGAATTCCAACAAAAACATTTCTGACATTTGTTTTATTATTAAAATATTCGTCAAATTAGAGAATGTGTTGTTTTTTTTTCCTTCGCACACCTTAACCGTTATTTTTGCACTGGAAATCAATCAAACAGCACTCCCTCTCAACAAATTGATAAAAAAAACACGCAGTGATTAATTTCGCGACTATTCTGGTGCAAATTTAAATTGGAACCTTTACAGCCGCAAAAGTAATTTAGTTTGTGCGCAGTCATATAGCCAGTAAATGCGGCAAAATGTGTGTAGTAAAATAAATGCTACGGAATTAGGAGAGGCGATTCAAAACAAATTGATTAAACATATTGCTGTGCAATCAACCGTCTGTCCAGCTTTGGAGTTCCACAGATTTGGCTAATAATTTGCGTACGATCTGGCATGTAAACATATCTTGTTGGCCCGGTAACTCTTGCACAAATCGCCCACTTAATGGGTCAAGGCAGTGGCGTAGCTACAACTTTTATCTCTGACAGGTATTAAGTAAAGTTATTATTATCATCTCTGAAGTTCAGAGAAGTTCATCAACAATTGAATCCGGCCTGTTAAGTTAACAGGCCGGATCCAATTGTTGATGTGTAATGGGCAACTTACAATAAATACGTAGACCTAAAAATAAAAAATATTCATTCAAAAAATCTAGAATAGAAATTCATCAATTACTTCTGAACTATGCTTTGACGTCTGCCAACTGGCAAGAAAATATGGCGACTTTATTACAATTATTGCAAAGTGGCGAGGTTCTCAAAATTAGTAGTAGTAGGTATTTTATTTCTTATAGTTGTTCGAAGTATCCGCAATTAGAAACAATAACGAGATGAAATTTTTAATTCGTCTTATAAGTAGAGTTACTCACTTCAAATCTTTGAAAACAGTTCCTTAGGAAAGGAATAATTTTGACTCAACTTAATTCGAACTCATTTCAATAATCGACTCCTGGATTGGACTAGACTAGACTAGCTTGTTCCCGACGGTGGCCCCTGTTTAAACAGCTGTACGCTTCTTCTGGAAAGATTGCGAATACCGCATTCGAGGTTGTTCCGGAGTCTGCCATTGAGACTTCACGTCATTTATTCTAGCAGCGCCGGCACCGATGCTGAATCACCGTACCGTACATACTAGAAACCCATAGGCGTCGTACTGGAGCTACGTATGGATTACTTCGTAAAGTAATTTATTTTGCTTAAATTTAAATTTCGTTAACGTACTTAGATATATGACTGTCCCAAACAGCACAATTAGTGATATACCTTTCATTGTTTTTAATGTTACACAAATGCAGTTAGCACATTTGGGCGTTAAATTTTCACAAATGTTAACACTATGGGATTAAGAACTTTTCCAGCATATAGATAATATATTTTGTGAGCATCGTTTCGAATAATGATCATATATATATATATATATATATATATAGTTAGTAAGTAAATTATCTTTTAAAAGATCATCTCCAATAATTTCGACAACTTGATTTAAGCTCTGGTAGCTCTTTCAGAACGTATTTTTTCTTTAATTTATCATTGCTATAAATGCTATAATATATATTTTATTTACATCCTCTTTGATAGGATACGCTAGGATGAAGCTAATATTATACCTTCCTAGTTTTTGTATTTAACACCCTAACGCCCGAATTAATTGCACCAACAACTTGTAAGACATCCGACTTTTATATTTTGGTTTTGATCTTTAGGTCCCAATATTATGAAAGACAGCTGTAGCGGAACCTTTTTTTTTTTGTTTACAACAGATTTTTTTGACAGAGATTTTTTCAGCTCTTGAATTTGACTCTTAAAGCGGTTTAGTAAGTCAGTTTTAAATTTTTATAATTCATTATATTAAACTCTAAAACCCAACGGGTCGAAGAATAAGAAATATTGACGTTTAATGTAGCAGAATAACATCATTTGTTAATGTTTGTAATTTTGGACTTTAAATTGTTAAGAGCTGTTTAATAAATATTTTACACACAATTCTGCAATAAATTCTTGTACAGAGAAAATAAATATTTACTTTTTTCCAACAATTTGAATTTAGCTTCCGTTAAATTTAAGCAAGGAACCACTTATTAAATATTACCCTGCACACATCCTCTTTTTTAGAAGATTTACGTTTCCCGCATTTTAACATTATTCACATTAATACTGGCATTTAAATTACACAGTGAGGTAATACTGATAAAATACAGAAACAAAAAAATATATAGAAAAACGTATACATTCAAACATTGTATGTACACCCTTTTCTGACGCTCTCTAATTCAAAAGAAGGGCTAGTGAATTTCAACAACAAAATGGAATAAATAATAATTATTAATACTTAAATAAGTATTCTCACCAAAAACAACTACAACTGTCAGATTTACATGAGACCACGACCAGACATTACGACCTAGACTTTGATTGTTTTAGTTGTCTTAAACTTGCCTATGACCATCCAAAGCCATGATGAAAGGAATAAAATCCTGAAACGTGTTTAACTGACAAATGATCAAAGCAATCGCAGTTTTGAAAGTAATTTTAATTTTAATCATCTGCGGAAAGTAACATATGACTCTCCAATCTTATTTTAATGTTACATTTCGTAAATTCCAGTATAGTCAGAAACATACTTACTTCAAAGAGAAAACGAGCAAAAATGTTTCACTTTTTGTGTACCCCTGCTCATCGAAATATTGTAATTTAATTAATTTAATTATTCTAATTTACTAATTCGTAACTAAAGTTATAAATCTTTGAATGTTTGCATGTTTATGAATTTTTAAATAAGTATGTTACGATTTTAGTGTTTAAGCATAAACTCTCTGAGTCAGCCTCAGAAAACTAATAACTGTTTAATATTGTTTTTACTCCCATTCAGTTGGTCCGAATTTTTTATCAGCAAGTTCCATTTTTCCGAGCTCAACAATTTCTAATGGTTCTCCATTAGAAATTGTTGAGCTCGGAAAAATGGAACATGAGAACATGGTCTTTCGATTGTGACATATGAGATAAATAAGTTATAGTACACTTTATTGACTGTAACCATTTAGATAATTGATAAGTATATAAGTATTTTCAATAAAGTTAAGAATATCTAAATACTTATAAATGTTTCATGCGCAACAAATTTAAAGTTACCTGTCATAACTGGAGTATGTCATCGCTAGTTATTTACAATTCTGAAAAAATGATGGCGTAATTGTCGTCTAGGTAAACATTTAAGAGGAGCAGGCTTTCTGTAATAATTATGCTTTTCTTCAGATCAGATTTTATCATAAAAACATTAATGCTTGTAGAAATCTTTCTAAATAAGTAGATAAAAACAAAATGCAAGATGACATTTGATTAACATTACTACATGATGGCTACAAATTAGCAACTAAATCTATTCATTAGGTACGTCTAATACTATCTCGATATCTCATTCACACTGAATAGTCTTATTTTCTTAAGTGCATAAATATTTCTGGAACAGTATTCTAACGAGTGATGTAGGTAGTTAGCGCTTATTGATCAATCGTGGTTGGCCCGCTTAATACCGCCAGTAGCTACGCCACTGGATCAACTGTGCAAACACGCGCTAATATCCCATTTTATTCCAACAGTTTACCACTGATATGATTTTTGAGAGAGTGCGACAGTGAACTTGAGGAAATGTGGACCCCTCCTAAGCCCTGCAAGTGGCATTGGGTTTCTTTCCTGGTTTTCTTCGCCACTTGCGCAACGAACGCAGACAAGATTTATACAGGTGAGTGGTATTATTATTTAGATTAATTCAATCGATAATAATTAAAATATAGTTTTTTTTCTAATTGGAGGTTAGACTCATGCAGCATACCTAATCCCGCTTGAAATCGTATCTTATTATTTATTTGTGGCACGCAACATGAAAGCACATTTTTTAATTATTGTTTCGAAGTTTTTGCCTCTGAGAGCTTTTAAAAGCGGCTTTAAACCCGGAATTAAGAATGCGTGTAAAGCATTTTAATGGGGGCTTAAATTGTGTGAAACGTGAAAAAATAATTAGAATCACCGCTAATTTGGATGAAAATGCGAAAAATGTTAACGCAGAACGAGAAAGTTGTTTCGGTGTTACAATGTTGCAACAGAAACTGACATCCACTGGAAAACTTGCTTTTCCATAAATAAGATGTAAAACCGGAAAAATTCACCATGCAAATTTAATGCGTTGGCTGTCTTCGCATTGACAAACACTATTTAGCAACGTGAGAACATTATTTTCACGGGGAAAACGACAACCACTCTAGACTCTGGGAGTTAGTTTGACAGTGGTATTTAAAATACTCGTATATTTCTTAATTATTATTTTACAACGTGCCCACAGTTCTGTTCAATAATTTGCGTCTAAGTTTGGGTTAACTTAAATTGGCCCGGTTAACTTAACTTAAATTGGCCTTTGTTAACTTTAACAAATTGTGAAACCAATGTTAAATTCGTTTGCTAATGTCAAGTGTTGTATAAAGCAGTTGACAATCGATTAACAACGTGTTAACTAACAATATGTCAAACCTGTGTTAACTCTGGATTTGGGTTGTATAAAGCTATCGTCAAAGTTAACATCATGTCAAACCTTAGTTAACTTTCTGTCAGCTAATCAGTCATCCGCCATCAATTAAGTTTCGATTTCATGTTTGTATAAAGCTTTAAGGACAAGATTTCTTAGGTTTTTGAAATAAAGGAAACGTAATTGGGTAGTAATGGTTGTATTTACTATAATTGTTCATGCAAATCTTAGAAGATATCATTATCTCGTTCGTCTTCGATGAGTGAAAACAGTGATGAAGAAACGAGATTGCAAGCAGTAAGAATCCATTTAGGCTGTATGATGATGTGGATTTTACGAAAAGGTTGAGGATAAAAAAACACCTTGATCCAGTTGCTCAATCTAATCAGTCATCAGCATCACCTAGAACCCGCATTAAAAAGAAATAACTTTATTTATGCAAAACTGCAACTTCTTCATACATTACGATTTCTGGCAAATGCATCTTTTCAGCAAGTTTTCGGGGACAATCGGACAATCTTGACATTCATAAATCTTTGATGGGTAGAATCATTACCACGATTTGTTCTTTTTGTCGTAACAGATGATGTACCTTTATGTTCAATAATGGGTTTATCTTGCATGTTACCCACCAAAAATTACCACACCACACAATACAAGTCACAACAAAATCAAAAACTGAAGTTACGTTAGAGAAAACGTCAACAACGCGTGAACTCGTACCAACATCAATTCATAAACGATAAAATTTCTAGTATTCGAACGTGATCCTATGTTAACTCGTTGTCAAAGGTTTGTCAGTTAACTAGCGTCTGCAAATTGTTTATACAACGGTGTCACAAATAACCCAATGTTAACAAGCTGTTAAAGTTGACAGAGTGTTAGCTGACATCCAACTTGACAGGCTTTTATACAACCGGGCCTAAAGCTATCGTCAAAGTTAACATCATGTCAAACCTTTGTTACCTTTCTGTAAGCTAATCAGTCATCTGCCATCAATTAAGTTTCGATTTCGTGTTTGTATAAAGTTTTAAGGAGAAGATTTCTTAGGTGTTTGAAATATAGGAAACGTAATTGGGTAGTAATAGTTGTATTTACTATAATTGTTCATGCAAATCTTATAAGATATCACTATGTAGTTCGTCTTCGATGAGTGAAAACAGTGATGAAGAAACGAGATTGCAAGCAGTAAGAATGCGCCATTCGCAAGAATCCATGTGAGCTGTATGATGATGTGGATTTTACGAAAAGGTGCAGGATCAAAAAAACACCTTTATCCAGTTGCTCATTCTAATCGGTCATCACTAGAGAGCGGATTTCTGTCGGGCTAGACAAGGCCAAACTCGGTACGGCTCGTACGGGATGGGAATTCATTGCATTTACCGGCTGCACTTCGTTTATTTGAGATTAGAATAACGCTGCTTCGTTGCACTCTGCTGTTAATTCCAGTTCTCATTTAGTTAGCCGTTTGATTAATAAATCGTTAATTGTATTTATGGAATCAAGTGACAATTAAATTCAGTGATTACCTATCACCCGCTACTGAGTCCCGGCGATGCAGCGCGTCCCCACTAAAATCGTGACGTAGCCCGACAGAAATCCGCTGTCTAGTCATCACCTAGAACCCGCATTAAAAAAAAATCACTTTATTTCTGCAAAACTGCAACTTCTTCATACACTACGATTTCTGGAAAATGCATCTTTTCAGCAAGTCCTCGGGGATAATCGAACAATCTTGACATTCATAAATCTTTGATGGCTAGAATCATTACCACGATCTGTTCTTTTTGTCGTAACAGATGACGTACCTTTATGTTCAATAATGGGTTTATCTTGCATGTTACCCACCAGAAACTACGACACCACACAATACAAGTCACAACAAAATCAAAAATTGAAGTTACGTTAGAGAAAACGTCAACAATGCGTGAACTCGTACCAACATCAATTTATAAACGATAAAATTTCTAGTATTTGAACGTGATCCTATGTTAACTCGTTGTCAAAGGTTTGCCAGTTAACTTGCGTCGGCAAATTGTTTATACAACGGTGTCACAAATAATTCAATGTTAACAAGCTGTTAAAGTTGACAGAGTGTTAGCTGACATCCCGCTTGACATGCTTTTATACAACCGGGCCAATTTAAGAGTATTCTGTTACAGTGGAAATGTTTTTTTTTTGTGTGTTTTAACAATGAATTTATTGGTTCTTCGTATAAAAGTCGTAACTTACTTCAGCAAAAAAATATAATTAGTCCATTGCTATTGTAAATGCAAGCCTATTTTACAAGCTTTAACAACAAATGTACCCAACGTTACTGAAAAAAACTGTAACTTCAATATTTTTCTCATAGAAGTATAGTATAGCAACCACGCTGGGACCATGTGGACAAGTTTATTTCAAGATCCTTCAAAACTTTTGTGATTTACCCTAACTCGATATAATCATCACGTTTTCATGATATTGTATTCTATTAAACTTTCGTTATAAACTTTTAAATACCGTGTATCTAAACTTTGAACAAGTCTTGTCAGGGGAATATCATTCAGAAATTATGCCTTATACTCGTACATGGAAAATATCAAAATTTTTTTTACAGTTTCTTTGAAGCCCAGATTACCTGAATCACTTGTGATAAATAATTAAAAGTTGCAAACACTTAAACGTTTTTTCTTGCTTAAAAAGCAAAAAAAGCACTTTTATAGCGCTAACAATTATTTAGAAATTGTTGGCAAAGAAAACTAATTAATGAGATGTTGAAGGTTTAGTTATTTATTACAGTATTACTCAAAAGTATTGACTGAAATTTACTTCCTGCATCTCTGAATATTCGAATCTTCACCATAACTAGTTTTTCAGATCCAAACCATAAAAAATTAGTTATATAGTGTTTTAGTAAACAGACAGGAATAAGTCCTACAGAAGAGTTAGAAATTTGTGAAAACTTCAGGAAAATGTCGAGATCTTTTTCACACAAGTTAGGTACATCTTAGCAGCAGGTTTGAATTATGCTCAGTGGAGGGCTTATTGAAATCATTTTGAATTACTTTTTCAAGTATATATTAACCCAAAAAACTAGCACTTCAAAATGAATTTCATCTCTTTATACCTACATATTTTTAAAAGGGTACGTGCCACGAAATAAAATCCTTTAACTTTTGTAAATTTCTAGTTTTTGGATTATTTTTATCACAACAGGATGGAACTTCGCAACTTTGGGAAAGAGCAGTAAATAGTTTGTTTAAAATAGATATATCCTTAAAGGCATTAAAAAACCCATAACATGCCACATTTCACTGAAAAGTTTACAGTGCAATAACGTTTTATTATTAGTTTATTTGAATTGCATACATGCATAGGTTTTTTTTTTAGCACCTCATTGACGTTAGTGTTAACACTTTAGCGAATTTCAATTATTTATAAAAGATCCTACGATCATTAATACAAACTTTACAATCCTGTAATAACATATTTCAAGAAAATTGTTTATTTTCTGAAAATACACATAATTCGTTTGAACTGTAGATTTTATGCATCTTTTTTATCGAAATAAATTTCAACTGCATCTATAGTATAATAACTTCCATTTTTATATTTACTTTTATTGATAAATTACACTTTTTTAGACAAAATGTAAACTTGACACGGAATGATGAAAAATAATTGAAAACTGTTTAAATCAGTAGTTGGCACAAGCCATACATTTGTAGGTACATATGTAGTATACATATGTTTCAGCGTCTAGGCACTAAGTTATATTATTTACAAAAGCAAAGTAACGTGTTGAATGAGATGAAAGAGGCAATATAAAATTCACTCACTACTAATTGGTGTAGACTATTTAAAATTAGTTAGATCAAGTCAACTACTGTCAATTTCGAAGCACCTTGGACTTTCTAGAAATATTTGAAAATAAAAGGGAGTATTGATAAATAGCTGGCCTCGGAGCTTTCCCACCAAAGAAAGCGAATGCTGATACCATGTCGAGTTTGTTATTTGACAAATAGTTTCTCCCGTTTTGATAATAAAAATTTTCAACCGATTCTGCATTGTAAATTTTTAAATAAAACATACCTGATAAAAGTCTCGGTTTTGATAAAATAGAATATCCGTCAGTGATTAAGTCGCTGACAGTTACCTATCAAGAAAATTTCTACGAATAGGGTGGGTATATTGAAGGATCATAATAATTCTTCATATGCCATCTTAGAAATTTTAGATAC